CACGGCTGTGCGTTCCTTGCCTGGCCGTATCATTTCAGGGTACACTCTGAGTACGTCCCCCTCTAAATCCACAGCAGGTCTCCCTGAAGGAGAAGGTTATTCTCCCACGTAATTTTCATATTCGAAGACGCTATCACTCACATGATGCTGTTTTCTAGTATATAGCTCCCCAGTTATGCCAGTAATGTCTTGTCTAGCTGTGGGTTTGGGTTCGGGTCTCCGGACCCAGGGTTCAGTCAAGGCTCACGCTGGCCTCTGGCTGCTGTGTACCTCGGTTGTCTTTCTTCCGGATCGAGGTCTCAAAGCCTTTTTGTTTTCTCTCACAGCACTGAAGGCTGTTGTGCAAAACGTTCCTTAGTTTGGGTCTTTTCCCATTATTTCCCTGAGATCAGATGTGGGATCTTGCCTTTCTTCGGCATGTCTACTACTTCAGTGCGTGTCCTTGTCACGCGCCACATCGAGAAGGACATCACATGATGCCATTCCCCACCTGCCCATCCCGTCCTGTGCTGCTTCGCATGTTCGCTGGTGGAGGGGGTGTTGGCTGGACCTCGCCGTGGGAGCCGGGGCCCTCCCCTTTGTACGCAGTCTGCGACCCGTGCAGTGAGAACTGGGGCTGGGTCGCTCCCACGAACTTCACGCGTGGCTGTAGCTCAGGCTGGTGACCCCGCCCAAGGAGCTCAGACTGGCGGTTGTAACACGGGGCTGTCCGAGTATGTCTTCTCTTGCCCTTCATTCCTGGAGCTCTTCCATTTGAGAGCCTCTCCTTGCGCCTCCCTAGTAGTTTTCTTGGGCCTGTCCTGTGGTCTCAGACTCATTTTTGCATTCAGTGGGGTGTAATCTATTGTTATCATTTTTAAATGTTCAAATCACCCGGAATTTGGCAAGTGAGGCCTGTCGTGCAGTTCCTGGTCCTCTGGATACGGTCCCGTTGACTTACAAGCATGTTCTTACCTTCTGCTAACAAGACGGTCCAGGCCCAGCTAGGACCTTCCCTGCCCCAGTCCCGTTTCTCCAGAAGTCCTGATCCTGCTGGGGGAGGTGGCATTTGGGAGCCGAATTCTGGGGTCACAGTGTATGACTGCCTTTGCCTCTGAGCCCCGTTAGCAGACAGAGCTGGGAGAAGGGGTGCCGCTGCCGCGTGGGTGAAAGCTGGAAGGACCCTTTGATTTGGGCTGGTCGAAGCTCTCAGGATGAGCTCTCAGTGTGTCAGTTGTTCAATCAACAGCCCAGCCACGCTCCAGAACCCGGCCTTGTGCTGTCATTACGTCACACGGTGCTACCACGACAAGTCTTCAGTAAAGCTCCAGGTTGTTTAGTGGTTGGCGTTTTTCTTCCTTTGCTTTAAGAATATGCTCCCCCAATGAGGTACTGCTCCGGGCTTCCGGGTCTCACCCTTCCCGTGTATCCCGGCTCATCTGTAGCTCTGCCATCAGTTTGATACATAGTCAGGGCCACTCAGGGCATATGACTGTAGCTTTCTCTCCCACCATTATCGATTTAATAATTGTGGGAGACATCAAACATTAATAGAGTTCCAAAAGCATATAAATGTATAATGAATTACTTTATCAAAAAGTTTCTTGGGGCTGGCCTTATAGCCTAGTGGTAGGGGAGCTGGGTCTCTCATGGCCGACCACAAGGTTCTACCCTGGCCCCAGCAGCTTGGTAACCAGGCTGGGCATGTATGTCCTGAATCCGGACAGGGTGGAGAAATGGAGAAGGGATTGCCAAGTGACCTCACCCCACTGGGGAGTACTCTCTCTCTCTCTCCTGTTCTCTGTCTCTGTCTGTTTCTTTCTGATGAGTGCATGCGCCCTCAGGCAATTTAACCAAGTTTCTCTGCTGGGTGGAAAGTAGAGCAGAGGAAGAACAGAGCTAGAAGTGGGAGGTTCAGAGGCTATTTTCGTCAGCCAGCCAAGAGGCGCGGTGGGGGTAGGGACAGAGACATGTGGATAGATGTGTTTTAAAGCTTATTTTCTCTGGTCCCACTGGAGAGACAGCAGTGGTGTGACACTCGGGAGACGCATGTGGGAGGGGCTGGTTTGCTTCCAGGAACCTCCTGGACACGCATAGCGATGGGCATGTGCCCGTGACCCGAGCCAGCTGAGGCTGGGCGGGTTGTGCTGCTGGGCCCTGTGGAGGGCGCTGTCTCCTCTCTGCCTCTCTCACTCACGGAAGTTCACGTTATTTATCCCCTCACGAGAGAGAGGTTCTCTTGGCAGGGTCTGGCCACACTGTGACCCTCCCCGTCGGCCGGGATCATGGGTGCATGGGACACACCTGCATGTTCAGGTCATGCCAGGGTCTGAACCTGGGCTTCCCCGTGGTCCCATGTCAGCAGTGGAGTCCACAGCCTGCCACCGTGGCTGGGCGGGGGTTGGACAGGACTGAGTGAGCCGTGCATCGTCGGAGGGGAAGAGTGAGGGTGAGGGGGCACTGAGGCTGCTGACTAGTGTGCCGCCCGGCCAGGAGGGGGACGGAAGTGGGCGGGGACAGCTGTGGGCTCATTTCACACATCGAAGCTGGGAGTTTCCTCCTGGACTGCAGCGGAGATGCTGCGCAGACAGCCGGCGTGGGTGTGGGAGCGGGAGGGACAGTCCGAGCAGGGGCACGGACTCGGACGTCACGGGGGCAGGTTGTGTTTGCCTTCAGGGACTGAGCAAGAGAGCATGAGGCTCAGGAGCAGGAGGGGGAGAGCTGCCAGCAGGGCGTGACCGGGTCCCGCCATGCCAGGATGGGGGAATGGCCTTTGTCATTAGGGACATGGACATGAGCACGCTCAGCGGCATGCCGGGCGTGGAAGCCAGATGGCTGCAGGACGAGGGAGCAAGGGGAGGTGAAGGAGTGAGCCTGCCTGTCCCTGGCATGGGGCTTTGTACAGTGATAACTCTCGGCTCTGACTCGCTGAGGGACGGCCCGGCGTGGGTGGCGCTCTAACGGTCCGTGGCCAGGCCTGCATCGATGGACCACTGCAGAGCCGTGGCCGGGATCCAGGCCTGGGAAGAGGGGGCTTACGCGGAGACCTCCCTCCTCGTCTCGTGGTGCTTCCAGGTGAGCTCATTCATTGCGTCCGTGCCGACCACCCGGCCCGTCTGTAGCTGTCTGTATCCATTAGTAATGGTCGGCTCTTTCCTATCTGAAACGTGGGCTTTAAAGACTTGCCCCGGCCGGCTGTGGCAGCACGGTCGAGGGGCGCCACTGGGCAGAGGCTGAGGCCACACGGAGGCCCAGGCTCAGACAGGCCAGGCCTGCGGACCTCGCTAGCCGGGAGCTGGGGCAGGAGGGTCACCACATGGCAAAATTCACACCTCCCTCTTGGGCCAGCCAGTGACGTGAGACATGCCAGGTGCATGTGCATGCAGGGATCCCCAACGGAGGGTGACAGAGAGGAGAAGGGACTGTGGTGAGGCCGTCCCGGTGGGGGTGCTTTCTCCCTTCTCTCTCTGTCCCCCTCTCTCAGTCTGTCTCTCTGGTGAGTGTGTGTACCCTCTAGAAAGTTAAAGCCAATAACCACCTCCCTCTCTGCCTCCTATCTCTCTCAATCATGCTTTAAAATGATAAACCATTGGTCAATCAGAAATGACTTTTACCCCAGTTTGAGCTGAGCGGCTGAGCGGCTGTAAGGTTCTCCGGCCTGCCCTTAACCGCCTTGACGAATATTCATAGCGCCAGGGGCCGCCCTGTGCTCAGTCTCCTCCCAGATCTTCTCCACTCCGAGAAAGGCCAGAGCTAATGTTTGTGTCACCTGCTCTTCCCTGTCCTTTGTTTTCTTATTTCTGTTTTTGAGACTGAAGCCAGATACTTGATTAATAATCAGAGAAGGAAGAAAGTCCCTGAATGTGAGAAATGCCCTTGAGCAGTCCCAGAAGCAACCATTTCCCCCAGGAAAGGCTGCCTGGCTTGTCTCCTGAGTGTGTCAGTGCTGAGTGTCCCTGCAGACAGCAGAGCCTCGGCCCTGTGGCCCTTGCTCCCTCTGAAAACCCCCTGTGAGAGTGCGGTTTCCCGGTGGGCGACCAGCTGGCGTGGCTGGGGCACGCCTGACACGGTCCCCCAGGAAAGGCTGCCTGGCTTGTCTCCTGAGTGTGTCAGTGCTGAGTGTCCCTGCAGACAGCAGAGCCTCGGCCCTGTGGCCCTTGCTCCCTCTGAAAACCCCCCTGTGAGAGTGCAGTTTCCCGGTGGGCGACCAGCTGGCGTGGCCGGGGCAGGACTGACACGGTACCTACCAGGTACCAGGCAGCTTTATTTTATACTCATCTGTTTAATCTTGTTTAAGTAAAAAAGAGTTAGGGTGGTAATTTTTATGTTATATATACCCTACTGCAATAAAAACAAAGCTTAGAACAGAAAAACGGAGTGGTGACTAGAGGGGCTGGTGCTGGAAGCCTAGAGGGACAGGCACTCTCGCCACTCTGGTGGCCTCTTCCCTATGCCTGTGGGTTTTCTCAGGTATTTCTAACCTACTTGGAATGGAAGCTGCCCTGTTCGGAACTCTGTATTAGGTAGGTTAAACAGTGCTAGCTCCCAGAGCAGGCAAAACCCCAAATCTCAGTGGTTCAAATCAGAGATTTCTTGGGGAAGTCATGACATATTTTTCTGTTTTCATGATGCAAACATGCACCTGCCCGACCACCCAGGTGCAGAGGGGCCTTGCTCTGGGCAGTCACTGTGTACCCAGGCTGCAGGAAGCTTCCCCACCTTGCAGATGTATCCTGGGGAAGCAGCCTCAGAGCTCAGGGAGCAGAGGAGCAGAGTGAGGAGCAGCCTGCAGCTCAGGTGTTTGGGCCGCACTTGCCACAGGGGCCTTGAACACAGTCCCTCCTTCTGGCCCTTCAGAGGAAGTGTGGAGGGAACTGCTGGGATGCCAAGAGAGGATGGGGAGGAGTATTCAGCGCCTTCAGAGGCAAGACTCTGCTTCCCCTGCCACCCCAGCAGAGTAAAGAGGCCAGAGTTACATTAAAATGCACATCCCTTTCTAATGTGAGCCATATCGTTAAACTAAACAGCCTCTGTATTCTCACACTTGGATTCCTCTGGATAAACCCAAAGTACTTATGCTGTTTTCCTGAGCTGGTTGCTAAGTTACGGCCAATCAGAGGAGCCACACGTCGGTCCCAGGCAGGAAGCCCACCGTCCAGGCTGTTTGTACAGCGTGCCGTCCACCTGCACCATCCCCGTCCACCTGCACCGTCCCCGTCCACCTGCACCGTCCCTGTCCACCTACACCG